AAAGATTTTTGACATTCTTCATCCCACTTGAATTCTACCTTTTTTCGTAGTAATTTGTTTAATGGGCTGGTAATGTCAGCAAAATTTTTAATGAAGCGCCGATAATAATTGCAAAATGCAACGAATCGTCGTACTTCATCAGCACTTTTCGGGATGGGATAGTTTAAGATTATTGAATGTTTAGTTTTATCGGGTTGTATACCATCCTTCGAAATATGGTGACCTAGATAGGTTACCTCATTCTTAAAGAAATGGCATTTAGATGGGTTCAATTTAAGATTAAAATTTCGTAAATTTTGAAATACGTTACGTAAGTTTGCTATATGATGATTTTTAGAACATCCTATCACAATGATGTCATCGATATAAAGGAAAGCACATTGTGGGGGCAAACCACTTAACGCGATAGACATCATTCGTTGAAAGGAATTTGGGCTGATATTAAGGCCAAAAGGAAGTCTATTAAATTCATAATGGCCCGTATCAGTTGAAAATGCGGTATATCGTTTTGAACTTTCATTTAAAGGGATTTGATGAAATCCGGACATCAGGTCAAGCGTTGAAAAATATCTAGCTCGCCCCAACTGATCCAAAATTTCGTCTATCCGTGGGAGCGGAAATTTATCTGGAGTTATATTCTTATTAAGCTGACGGTAATCAATAACTAGCCGCCATTTTTTGCTTTCGTTTGTAGTGGATTTCTTAGGGACAAGTAGGATAGGTGAGTTGTATGGTGAGGTTGAATTTTGAATTATTCCATCATTGAGCATTGTTTGAATTTGGTTGGAAATCTCTTGTTTTTGAGATTCGGGTAATCTGTAATTTTTTATGTATATGGGTTTGCTGTCATTGAGAGTTATATCTTGTTTGTAAAAATTGTTCTCCGATAGCGTATCACCTTGAAGTGAGAAAATATCGTTGAATTCAATGCAAAGTTTTTCGAGTTTATCTTTGATGAGGGGGTCATTATTTTCAATGTTCAGTTCATTTTACAATTTTTGCGTTCTTTCAGTCGAATGCATTTTGTTCGCATTGTTTGAAATAGTACAATAATAAAAGTTTGAAAGTGATTCATGTTTAGGCACGAAATTTGTCGGCAATAAGACATCCTTGGTTGTTGTGTTGATGATTTTAACGTAACGGTTTTCTTTGTTCACTATTGTGTTTGCACAAAACACTCCAGGACATATTTCTTCTGACAAAATAACGCTGTCTTCATGAATGTCGAAATTGTTTAGGTGTTTTATAATTTCACATCTAGCTGGTATAAGTTTTGAATCTATAAACCTATTTATTATCGGAATACTAAATGTTTCGTAATTAATCGTTAAATTGAGTAACCAGGATTCGTAATCAACTTTACATTTATGTTTCACCAGAAAATCTCTCCCAAGAATTCCATCGGTGGGAATTGGGAAATCATTTCCAACAATGTGAAACGTATGCGGTATCTCAATATTATTTATTATTATATTTGATTGGGTAGTACCCATCGTACTCACATTTCCTTGTCCTATTCCAATTATATCGCATTTTTGACTGGGATAATATATTTGAGTTCTTTTTACCCCTCCAGCTTTAATGACCGATATATCAGATCCACAATCAACAATAAAAGTACGCTGTGAAACCGCCATATCGACCATTAGCTGAACATAATTGGTGGCAGATACATTTATTGTGTATGCTGCCCTAACTGTACCCCTAAAGGGTGGATATTTCCTTGTGGTAGATGTGTCGCATGTTGTTGCTGTGGAATTTGCATTGGTTGTTGTATCGGTAGTTGAATTCCCTGCTGTACTGCTGGGTGATATGCAACACCGTTATGTTGGGCTAAGAACATGTTCGGTGCGAACCGACCTCGCTGAGTAAAGTTTCCCCTTTGATTTGGGAAACGATTATTTTGAAAATTTCCACGGTTGGAAAAGTGATTTTGAAATCTACTATTCCGTGGAAATTGGTTGGTATGGAAATTATTTTCTTGATAATAATTTCCTCGTCCTCTGTAACTAGCTCTACCTCGTCCTCTTGAACGGTTTCCTCTGCTTGCAACGAATACGTGTGCATTTGAAGAAATGGAATTATTTCCATTATCAGTTGGCACGTCGTTTTCCATTAATTTTTGGATTGCGTCATTAATTTTGCTGAATGTTCCAGCCTTTAGTATGATTTTTGTGTCTCTGTTTTTGGTGCCGTTGATCAGTGATTCAACGCCTTTTTTTGTTGCCATTTGATCAGCTACATCATTTGGAATTTTGTTGTTGATATAGACTGATTTTAGCTGTAAAGTTAATTTCTCTACGTCATCACAGAATGCTTCTGTGGTGGAAGTTTGTTTAAGTTTTTGTAACCTTGCCAAAATGTTATCGGCTGTGATTTTTGAAGAGCAATGCTCTTTCAATGCTGCTACTAAATCTTCATAGGTAGCATTTTCTGGTACTGCTTGCCTGGCAGCACCCGTTAGTCGTGTTTTCACGAATCGAGTGGCAATGTTTTTAGCGGCAGCTTTAATCGCTGCGGTGGCCTCCGCGTTAGCGTTGTCGACTAAGTCGAAAAACAACGTAATAGAGTCCAAAAAAGAATTCAGCCTCTGTGGATTGCCATCATATATTTCAACGAGCGCAGTGCCCGTTTTTATGTCTACTTTTGCCATCTTGGGTTTTAATATTTTTTTTCGATTATTCCTATTTTTTAATTTGATATAAAAAATCAATATAAAGGTAACGGTTGTAATATTTAATACCGTGTTTTTGGCGAATTTTAATTTTTCATTAATGATTTGTACGGTATCACTATATTTATTGCGTGCTCCTTTTATGTAAAAATTTAGTTCTGATTGCGCTTATTTTGATTAATTTTGCGCTAATAAATCATTAATATAATTGTAAATAATTTTAATTTGCTTCGCTTTAGCAATCAAGAATTTTTTACTATAAATCCTTCTAGGAGCTTTAGTAAAGTTAACTAAAATTAAATTTAATTGTGCAATGTTAGAGTCAAGCTCTAACTTAACTTGCTCTATGTCCATAGGAATATATTCATAAGAAATGTTTTAGCTCACCAGCCATCCTCTCTGCATCGTCCGAAGTGTCTCGTATCTGCATGCACGTCATTTTTTCCTCGTTGTTGTTGTTTGAAGTCGATGGTTACTGAACCGTGTGAGCCGCTGGCGGTGATAATAGCGTTTATGTTTGCATTTCCCGTTACTAAATTCGTCCGTTTTGTTGCACTAACGTTAGGCTAGCTCACGTAATAGTTTTTTTTATCTTCACTTTTTTCGCAGACTGGTTCACGCAATTGTCTTTTTGCACTTTTAATGTTCTGCTCTGACACTGTCCAAATTGTCTTGGGATGCTGAGCTGGCGCGGTTAAATCCTTGCCGACGCCACCTCTTCTTCAGAGATTTTCGAAGCACCAACAGCAGTTGCAAAACGTTGATTGCCACAATGATCCACAGCTTTATTTCGTGTGATTCATGGTAAAATTCACTGCTTTCTAAGTGTTCCACTATGTTGACGTTGGAGTTCCCTTCTTGGGTTGTGGAAGAACTTTTCGCCTTTTGATTGCCCATTTTGATAAAATTTACTTTATAAACTTGGGCCAGTCTACTGCCCGGGTTTCTTCATTCACAAAATGTCACTTTTTATTCAAGCCGAGTTCAGTGTCTGAAACTTGACACGTTGTGCGGGTAAATACTCTTTAGTTTTTCTTGAGTGATATATCGCACTGCACTCTGCGAACTTTCGGTATCTTTTCGTGGCGACACTTTGTTCTGCTGCCTACCGTACTCTTCTGCCACTATTAACTGGAGAGTTTACCCTAATTGAGGCTATTCTTGTTCGCTCGGTTGACTATCGTGTGTGTTAGTCCACGATTGATATCCATTTCACAACCGCTAGTTCAAGTTGCACCAGGGTGATTAGATTCAACTGCTATAGCACATTTTTGTAGCAAACACACATTACTTCCAACTTGATCACATCTAGTACAGACCCGTGAAGTCGCACCTCTTGTATTAAATCACACCACAATGTCCATGATCTTCACGTATTTTTATCTACCGGGACTTATTTCAATGATACCTGTCGTAGGTAGCCATGTTACAACTTGGGACACTTTGTCCCTATAGGTTCTTCTGGATTTTGATATCTTTCCGAAAATCACAAACGCACTCGTTGGTGGTTAGAACAATAATAATCTTTATTCAGAATTATATTCCTTAACACATTTTTCCTACGGGAGACACCTGAAGTCATTATGTGACAGTTTATGTAAACGATCACCAATCAGCGATCGATATTAACAAACGAGAGAATGAGAGAATGAGAGAGAGAGATAATTTGGAGAAGGCAAATTGGTTAAATCGGTTGCGCTGAAAATGGCTTAGCAACTAGGAATATCGGCTGCCCGGAGTGCGCCTTGGCGACAAGCAATACGATATCCTTAGACGCCGAGTATGGGTTATTGAATTCGTTTTAGCGTTCATCGAACTGCTCCATGCACTTGCTGCGTAAGGAGTTCGATGTCCGAGTGAGGCATGGGAAAATGCTTGTTACTAATTGAAAACTGAAATGATTTTTTGGAAATTGATGACATGTGAGTTGCGCATGTCACAGTAAACTAAAGGAGAAAAATCTATACATCTATCTATACATAGATAACATAGATAACATTTTTTGCTGTTTTATTTAAGCATTCCGCTAACAACCCAATTTCATTACTTCATTATGATGGCTACCAAGCCTTTGGGATTTTCCTTATTAGAGAGTTGTATAGGTCAGAGAAGTCTATTGAACAATACTCAAAGGAAACGCACTCACATTACAGTAAGCGTTTGCATGTGTGTTTGTGTATCATAAAACGTTTCAATGTGATGTCACTAGATTGCGTATCGAGTGAATCTGCCCACCTCGATAGTTGCTATAATTCGGTCTTAATTTAAATTTCTAAATAACCACTCCAGTCGAAAAAGAAAATTTTCGCCACGCAGTGCAATTTATTGCTACATTTTAACATAATTTCAAATTTTCATCAATTTTATTAAAATGTCTTCATGCACCCCTTCCGTGCTATTATTTCCGTTTATGTCCACTACGACACAAGCTTGCTTCTCTAGTGCCGCCATCATTGCCAAATGATGAATGTCGAAGTAATCAAACTGTGTAAAATAAAATGTGGGTAAATTCGAAAATGACATGTTTTAATTGAACCGTACCTCTGCTCTCAACATTGCTCCTTTCATTTCTGATTGGGAATTATTTTTCAAAATATGATTTCGTTTCCTTTTCCAGCACAATCTAGCATCGGTGTGTAGATGAACAACTCTGCAAATTGATTATCTTTAGTGACTATCATGTAAACCGGATTCAACGGTAGACATACCTCTGTGGAACAATCAGCAAATGGTAGAGATTTTCCACGTCTTCGGCAGTGTTGGGATAATCAACCAAAACCCAACCAAACTGGAGGCAATCTGGTTCCAGAAGCCGTTTTTGAACTACCGTGGCAATCAGTTCCGAGGTGTGTACATTATCTCCGAGTCCAATCTCCAACGTCTTTTTGAAGAAATTTCTATCGCTCCGAGCCCGTTTGATGAGATCGTTGACTGAAACTTAATGCAGCATGTATGATTATGATTTAGATAGATGTTGCTGTCGAGTTGAAGATTTGCTATATACCAAGAATCAAATCAAGCCGATTGGCCAGTAATCGTGCTTGCAGATGCTTCCCGGAACCAGGTCGTCCGGTCATCAGGATTCGTTCTACATATTTGATCTGCTTGTGACCTGGGATTGACGACAATTGTTTAATAGTGTTCTTGAAATCCACGGCGATCGGCAAAATGGTTTGTATGTTAGGGTGTTGTTCAGCTTTCAGACTTTTAGTTATATCAATAAGTCTGTTCAGGTGGAACTCTTCTGATATTTGTTTTTCCGGAATTTCACCCTTTGTCCCTATAAATTTAATTTCAGTAGGTGGCTATTATGTAATTTGTATCAAATTATTTGATTGATTACCAAAAAATATCAAGTTTGCCCGCTCCAATCCAAATTGTTTTAGCTGCTCTGCAAGTTTCTTCAGACGTTTCCTGGAAGCAGGTTTTTGCATTGCGATGATTGGAGATTGATGAACCCTACTGCACACCTTTGCGATTTTTTTTAAATCTGCAATAATGACTTGCTGGTTTATAACTGGTGCAGTGTGGATTGCAAAATGGTGGACAGTTCCTTACCATAATTTAGGGGAAATTCAACAGATATATTAATCTTCCTATACTTGTCCGCAACCTTATTTATATTGCCTGCTATGAACTCTTGAACATTATCTGGGCGTTTCTGATCTAGCATTATCATCAAATCCTGGAAAAATTCATGATTAGGATTCAATATTTGCTATAAAATATATATTATGACTTACAAACAGTATTTCAAAAATGTGATGCTTCTCAAAGTAGAGCATCAACTCCGTGGGATAGTAAGCTGTGTGGAACACATTGACGTCACGAAGAAATGAGTTTGAGGCAAGAACCTCCATTGATAGATTTGCTGAAGATCAATGAGTACCTATAAAACAAAAGAAAAATCATAAAAAATCTGTTCTTAGACGACAAACTGCTTTCACCAATGCCTACTGCTTCTTAAATAGCCAGTAACGGCAGGGTCAATTATTAATTATTGAAATGATTGAAACCTAATACCCCGTTCACATTACAGCGTATATCACGTGATATACGCTGTCTTGCAATGAGCACTCATACATCTAGTTTTCACTGGAAATCCTATGTATGAGTGTTCATTGCAAGACAGCCTATATTACGTGATATAGGCTGTAATGTGAACGGGGTATAAGAGGTAAGAGGAAAAGTAGACAACTGGCTTCTTGCTCTTTTATCTCTATCTCTATCTCTATCTTACGCACTTCAAATCGGCCATTCACGAGCTGGTTCGCGTTTGACAGAAACAGGGTTACTTCCACTCACTTGCTATAAAAATTGTTTTTCCGAATTATGAAAACAATAGATGTTATAGTGATAATTAGAACTTGTAAGTTACAAGAAGAGGTCGTGAAGTATGTGTTTGACTAATAAAACCTGTCAATTTCGCTTTCAGAGCGTCACAATCAGCGATCTTATGATTCGCGAGCGTTCACTCAGAGTGAGCGCTCACGAATCGTTTAATCGCTGATTGTAACGCACTGAAAGCAATATTGACAGGTTTTATGTATCAAACACATTCTGCACGACGCCTTCTTGTAGCTTACAAGTACTAATTATCACTATAACATCTAATGTTTTCATAATTCGAAAAAAATTTTTTTATAGCAAGTGAGTGGAAATAACCCTGGACAGAAAAGTGGTTCGAATTTTCGTCCCCGTATTGTCTACTTTTTTCTTAGATTGAAACCTAGAATAAGGTGAAGCTCCATTAAAGCCTTTTTAGTCCGTATCTTCAAGTACATACTACGAATATCAGCTTCCACATGCTAACTCAAGGACATTTGGTTCACGAGAAATCGGCAATTGACGTGTTTGTTTATTAATTCAAGAGCCACATGTGAAAAAGGCATACACAGTCTTGTAAGCGGTCACGGTAGTCGACACATTTTCTGTGATAATTGACTGCCTTTGCCTCCGACACTTGCAAAACAAGCTATCATAGTACAGTACCAAACTAAAATGTAATATGACAGGCTCTGTCATACGACACTGTCGCCGAAGACCGTCACGTAGGTATGTATTTTAGTTTTTCTCATAAGAAGAGCTGCTGATGTTGTACTTGTGTGAATTCTGAAAATAGCAAGTAATGATGTCCTAGAAATAATATTTCTGATCAGAAATGGTTTGATTTACACCAGATTGAGGAATTACAACGAAATCGCACATGTCATATGATAGCTATTTTGATAATTTTCTTTAAGCTCGAATGTTATTCTACCGCTCGTGTTGCGTGAGAGAGACGTCGGTAGAGCATGAGTGTTCGAATACAAACAGACTGTCGCGCACGACAACGAAGCGAGTGTAGTAAAAAACGTCAACTGTTTCAACCCCTGGGCATACAAGCTTTTTGAAAACAAACCTTTTGAAACCCTTTTATCGCCAACCGAGGGTCGCCCACGCAAAGCAACATCATCATCGGAAAGGGGAAAGTTTGCCCTACCCGGTGATGTTGATGGTTTGCGCGGGTGTCATGTGGGTGGCGAGAAAAGGGCATAAGAAAGTTTGTTTACAAAAAGCTTGTTTGCCCTTTTCACATGTTGTTCCTGAATTATTAATTTATTTGATAAGCCTCAAGCGAATTAACTGTACAGAGGCGCAGATTCTTGGTCACTATACCATACGTCTTAAAACTATAGTCAAAAGGTACAACACAATAAACACTTTATCTTCTGCTATCCAAAAAGCCTGGTTTCATTGTATGGCAGTTACGCCATCGGGGGCAGAGCGCTTCCATTGCAGCAATGGACGCAAAACGTGATCAGCACTCACACACTCATCACGAAACGGTTGCTTTCCAAAGTCGACGATGCATCGGCCGAAAGAACTGCTGATGAAGAACAACAATATGGTTGCTGCTGAGAAAACAGACGATCTCGTGGCACACATCGAGAGTGGCCTGCTTTTGTCGACAGTCGAGTGAACACTCAACTGTTTGTTTTTCAAATGCAATTACTCCCAAACCTCAAATGGAAGTATGCGTTTGACTAGTACTGTCACATTAATGGCCCTTCGCTCATTTTCAACTTCTATTCAATTTTCATAGTGCCGTACCACAGAACAGAAGGGGAAGTGCAAACAAATCGGTGAATCAAAAATGGTTCGTTTTTCTGCTCAACAAGCGATGTGTTGTGTAGCGTTCCACACGGGCTTTCTATGTGCACTCACACTATCATAGCATGCTGCCTATCTTAACTGCAGGCAGAAGATGCCTTCTACCGCTAGGTGCGCTAGTGTTCGCAAATGACAAGTGGAGCCACTTTCAGATCCGAAGTTCCACTCCTGTGGCCGTACGCTAGCAGAACTAGTAGTTGTTTAAGCTGAATTGGAATGCAATTCATGGAACACTTTTAGTTATAATATGGACCTATCAATTTGGAATTCTTCCGCAAAGCGGTGCTATCAGCAGGTTCAGGGCTGTTGGGCGGTAGACAGATCATTTCGGAATTCTGCTAGTGAGCAAGTAAATATTCCGTAGGTACTGCTGTATCACAAGATAATGATTATTTAGAAGGATGATGTCTTGGACAAAGTTGATCAGAAGTTAAAGGGCTGCAGGGAGGTGAGCAGAACAATTCAAAATTCTTCCAGTAGGCGCGCTAGTGAGCATGGTATATGAGTGAATTGAATATTCTTATTTCTTTGCTAGTTCTGGTTGTAACGCTTTTCTCCGCATGATCATCAGATCAACCGGTAGGGTTTGCCTCGTAACGTGGGTAGATCACCTTTTCGTGGTCTACCACCGATTCCTAGTCCTGACTACTTTAAACTAGGGGAACATGATTTTTCAGTGATCCAAGGAACGCATATTAGTCCTTGTTACTTTTCATGCCTTGTTGATAGTGCCAAGACTCGGCTTTGTCCACCGAGGATGATCTTGAAACAAGGAAAAAATGAACTAGTTAGTCTAGGGGAATTTACGTATTCTCGGCAACCTAAGCAGCGACCATTTTTCTATAGCCTTTTTCTGTCAGGAACACACACATATGCAGTATTGGTTTGTTTACAATCTTTTGCTGTCAGCTGCTCTAACAATTTCAGTCGAAATAATTGTCAAAAACTGTTTTAAAACGCTTTTACAAACCTCCAAACTTCTCTAGTGAGAGCGACTAGTGTGGGCAACACCTTTTTATTTGAGCTGCGTGCTAAACAGCTGTGCTTTCATCGGCAACTTGAAATCAGCAGCATTTTGTAGTGCGTGTGTTTCATTTCAAGAAAACCCTGCTAGATTGCTTTTTCTCAGTGGTAAAAATATAATCAAATTGAAGCTGAAAATCTAAAGAATCGTTTGAATGCATTCAGGGAAGTGTTTACGTGAGAAAATCCAATGAAATTAGTGATTCAATTTGGGTTGCCGAAAATAGTCTGTCATGCCGTCATTTTCCCTAAGTGATTCCTAATCTTCTATTCGTTGTTCCCTATTTTGAAGTAGTTAAGACTAGGGTTCTGATGCATGGTCATTATCGATGTCATTCCTTAATTTTATTGCTAAGGAATCCGATTTTGACTGACAAAGGGGTGCACCTTTGGAGGGTGCTTCAACACTCCGAAGAGTATACATACACCGTTTGAAAAATTCATGTAAATTTCAGCGAGATATAGGCACATAAAATCAACGCAAGATTTGGCGCATATTGTATGCAAGCTTGTAAACGATTTCGCTGTTTATGCCAAGTATAACTCAAAACTAAACGAATGGAGATTTTACGCGATAGTTAAAATTAAGAATTTTTTTCTGTGTAGCAGGACTTTTCAAGTAGAGTCGGATCCTTGCGATAAATGTAAGAATGACAACTGTAAAAAAATCGAATACTTCACCATTTCTCAATAGTGATGGAGTTATTTGACATGCACTAAACTAAGGACACGGGATATACTACAATAGATCAAATTACTGGTCGCAGCGGTGTTAGGTCCCGAACAGAGGAAAAAACTACAAGGGACAGCCCTATGGGGTTGTACGCAATGGTGACGAAGGACTACGTGGTCTTGTATAATAAATGTTATTTGTTGACTGCAGCAGGAGCTTGTGTTTTGCGTACGAATAGGAATTTCAGCGGGGTTCTCTCTGTTTATACTCTTTAGTATGACTATGATTGCCCTGAAAAGAATCTTTTGATATGCATTTTAGTTGGGACATGTTCAGAAATTTAACTCTTTTCGAAAATCTGGGTGGCCCTGAAAAGGGCCGATGGTAGTACAGGCTTAAAGCCTTTGGAAGATGATGATGACGTGTAGGCAGCTGGATCAGCAAATCGGACCGGACAATCCCATATTCTTCGGTTCAATGATTAGCCACTCGCAAAAGTCTCTGTCTGTCTGCTGCTGGACATGGGTTGAGCTAGTGTCTGCGATAGGCTGGAAGGCCGCATAATATCAATGTCCACCCGTTACACTCCTTCTGTCAACAAGTTGGTCAATATTAGCCTTTAGCAGAAAGACGCTTAACACTTTTTTCGGCGAATTTATGATCCTGTTTCACGTCATGGTTCTTCTCTATGCTTGTCAGTGCTGAGATTTGTCATTGTCATTGACAGACTTTCGCGCGATATTGACAAAATTGTTCGTCACATAGTCACTGACAGACTTGATCCTCAAAAAAACCTTCGTCAAAATCTCATTCATTTTTTCGTCAATGACAAAGATTCACCTGATAACAAAAAGTGTAATTTAGTACATTCTGTGTCACATTATTGTTATCCAAGTAGCTCAGGACGTAGATACTTGTTCATTAAAATGATCCAAGTCATTTAATTTCGTTACAAATTTAGCTAATAAACAAATCTGCACATGTTCGTCACTGACACCATTGTCATTGACA